TTGGCCTACTCTGACTTCTTTCACAGAGGCTCGCAACTTCCATGGTTTGGCTTCTTTCTACCGTTGCTTCATCTCCCATTTCAGCACTATCACTGCACCCATCACCGATTGCCTTTACCGAAAAGACGTTCATTTGGACCCCTCGGGCTGAGGAGGCCTTTTCACTTATCAAATCAAGCTCACCGAAGCTTCTATGCTGCTCTGCCTGATTTTATTGTTGCTTTTGAGCTTTCTTGTGATGCTTCGAAGGTGGGGATCGGAGCAGTGTTGAGTCAGGATGGTCGTCCGGTCGCTTTCTTTAGCGAGAAGTTGTCCGGACCGCGCAGCACATATGATGTCGAGTTCTATGCCGTGTTTCGTGCTATTCATTATTAGCGCCATTATCTCTTTCACCGTGAGTTTGTCCTCTACACCGACCACGAGGCACTACGCCACCTTTCTTCCCAAGGTAATATTTCTGCCCGCCATGCATCTTGGACTTCTTATCTGCAACAGTTTACTTTTGTTCTACGACATCGCTCGGGTGATTCTAACCACGTGGCAGATGCATTGAGCTGTCGTGCGTTGGTGTTGACTGATTTGCATGTTTCGGTGGTCGGGTTTGACTTGCTCCGGGACCTCTATGCCACTGATCATTTTTTCGGTCCCATTATGTCTCGCCTCTCGTTGGGCCGGTCGAGGACTATGCTCTTTCTGATGGCTTTCTATTTCGTGGGATTCGGTTGTGTCTTCCTGATTGTAGCCTTCGTCTCAAGGTGGTGGCGGATTTGCATGGGGTGGGGCACGTGGGCCGCGACCACTCAGTTGCCTTGTCCGCCGTTCCTTTTTCTTGCCTTCTTTAAGGCGTGATGTTTCGAGATTTGTCGAGTGTTGCCGTGTGTGTCACGTGTCCAAGGGTGTTGCGTCCAATGCTAGGCTTTATCGACCGTTGTCGATTCCTTCTCGCCCATGGAGTGCCATTAGTATGGATTTCGTTCTGGGTTTACCTCGTACCCAACGGGGTCATGATTCTATATTTGTTGTCCTTGACCGCTTTTCCAAGATGGTCCACTTCGTACCTTGCAAAAGGACTGCGGATGTCGTCCACGTGGCCCAGCTTTTTTTTTCGCGAGGTGTACCGTTTGCATGGGCTACCTTCTTCTATTTTGTCTGACCGCGACACTCGTTTTCTCAGTTATTTTTGGCGTACTTATGGCGGCTGGCCGACACGCGGTTGGAGTTCAGTAGTGCTTATCATCCTCAGACTGACGGTCAGACGGAGGTCGTGAATCGCTCTCTTGAGAATTTGTTACGTTGTTTGGTCGGTGAGAACTTGAAGAGTTGGGATCAGAAGCTCAGTCAGGCTGAGTTTGCCCATAACTCGGCTGTGAGTAGGGCCACTGAATTTTCTCCTTTCGAGGTCGTCTTTGCGGTGCGGCCACGTGGAGCCGCGGATTTGATCGCCCTTCCCGCGGCGGAGACGGCTGATCGTCTCGCGAAGGAGCTTATGGCCGACCTCCGGCGTATTCATGCGGCGGCTAGGTCCCGTTTGGAGGAGGTAACGGCAGCCTACAAGAAGTCCCCGGATGCTCGTCGCCGGCATGTTGAGTTTGATGTTGGCGATTTTGTTTGGGCCGTCCTCACCAAGGAACGTTTCTCGGCCCACGAGTACTCCAAGTTAGCGGCTCGGAAGATAGGGCTGGTTGAGATTGTCGAGAAGATTAATCCGAATGCCTACCGTTTACGTCTTCCTTCTCATTTGCGTACTTCTGATATTTTTAACATCAAATATTTGGTGTCGTTCCGGGGTGATAATTTGGATGGCGAGGGAGACGAGATCTCTTCGGATTCGAGGGAGAATCCTGCCCAACTGGGGGAAGATGATGGAGACGAGATCGCGTTGGCGTTTTTGGAGAAGTTTGATCGGATGCCGTCCTTAATTTAGATTATTTATTTCCCAGCTATTTATTAGTATTCCTTATTTTCCATTCTTTATTTGGTAATGGCTTAATTAATAATTGTTTTGTTAGCAAGTTAGGTATCTAGAATGTTTTGGGACTCTATTTAATCTCTCTTCCTTTCTTTTGGCCGATGGGCTTATGAATAATATTACAACTTTGAGATTTTATATCTTGTTCTCCCTTTTGTATACGCTGCGCTACATCACTTGGGCAACAGATTTGTTTAAGAGGCAAGAGAAAAGCTAAGAAACAATAATGAAGAGGTAGGGAGAGATTGGATCTTTGGCATCTTTAACAATGTTTTTTTATGAACCTTCATAAACTTCACTTTTATATTTCTCAACATGCCACATCATCCAAAATCTCATTCTTACTCCTACATTCATAAATCTCCAATAACAATATACCTCATAAACCTCATTTTTTATGAGTCCCACATGTTTCCCACTTCATTTTAATTAATATTATACTATTATATTTTATTAATATCTTAAAATTATAACTCTACTTTTTATTCTTATTAAATGTAAATATTTCATATATTTATCATAAATACATCTAGAAAATAATATACTTATATATATTATATATTGTTAAATACGTATGAATGTATAGTTTTAATTATAAAAATTACAAAACAAAAATTACGAAACATAGAACATACATAATATTGAAAATTAAATTTTGAGTACAAATTTGTTCTAAATATTAATCATGGGAAGTAGATTCATTCCAAATATGTTCGAACAAGTCGTGTCGAAGTTGATGATGAATCTACTTCCAAGTATGGGAAGTAGATTCATTCCAATTAATCAGTTGGTAGCTTCTTCGCCTTCGTCTTCGATTATCATGTTATGTAAAATGATACACAATAACATAATTTCGCTAAGATCTTCTTTATACCAAAAACGAGAAGGACCTCGAATAATTGCCCACCTTGACTGGAGGACCCCAAAAGCACGCTCAACGTCTTTTCTTGCAGCCTCTTGCCTTTACTTGATTTTTTTCTTTTTTGGATCCTCTGGACATTGAAAGCTTTTGACAAATGTAGCCCACTCTGGATAAATACCGTCTGTTAAGTAGTATCCCTTGGTGTATTGAGTCCTGTTAACCACAAAATTGACCTCTGGAGTTACACCATGTAAAACATCATTAAATAATGGAGATTTGTGTAGTACATTATATCATTTCGTGATCCTGCGAGCCCAAAAAATGCGTGCCAGATCCATAAGTCTTGTGATACCACTACTTCAAGCATAATCGTGGGTACTCCATGGTCCCCTCGAGTGTACGAGCCCGCCATCCAATTGGACAATTTTTCCACTCCCAGTGCATACAATCTAGACTTCCCAACATGCCAGGAAAACAGTGTTTCTCTTCGTGTAATGTAAGTATTGTTTGGATGTCACTGGCATTTGGGGGGCACAAATATTGGGGTGCATATATTTCTCTCACAACACGACAAAACTCGATCAGACTTCGATTGGCCGTTTGCTTTGACATACGAAGGTATTCGTCACATTGATCTGCAGGAGCTCCATACGCTAGTTGACGTATAGCCGCAATAGACTTCTGAATTGGTGTAAAACCTGATCTTCGTGCCGCATCAGATCTACACTTAAAATAATCGGAATGGCCTTCGACATCCTGAATGATCCGACAAAATAATCGTCGGGACATACGGAATCTACGACAAAAGTAGACTTCGTGGTATATGGGATCAGGAGCAAAATAATCTCTTACCAGTAGGGCATGTCCAGCTTCACGATTTCGAGGCACTTCTCGTCTTTCACGCCTAGTTGAAGTTTCATCTTGCTCGGCTTGCTGCAATTGCATAGTCGTGGCCTCCATCAAGGCAAATTCAGGTTGCTCCAATGAATCGTCAAGCATATCTTTCAAAAAGCACGATATGAGACTCTATCATTATTACGGCTAGCCATTTGTAGAGAAGTTAAAAACATTTATGTTTGTGAAAATTGACAAAAAATGAGAATTAAAGAATAAATAAGGAATTTAGTTTTTGTTTTTGTATGTGGTTGTGGAGTTGATGATACTATACTATTTATAGTGTGAAATGGTTGTGTTAGGTTAGCTTGTGTTAGATATTATTGTAGTAGGTGACATGTGTGGTGCAGTAGGTGGCATGTGTGGTGCAGTAGCTTGTGTTTTTTTTTTTTAATTCCATTAATGATAGGATAAGATAAATGAAAAAAAAACCTGTTTACGTGGGTCCCGCAAGGTCACGTGTGACTTCGGTTTACCGAAAATCGAGATGAGATGTGTAGATTATTCAGGCACAATGTCATGCGGGACATTTATCGAGTATTTCAGAGCTCCAAACATTTAATTAGAGAAGCTCGAGTTGAGTGTGCATATTAGTACAATAAATAAAAAAAGCCATTTACGTGGGCCTCGCAAGGTCGCGTGTGACTTCGGTTTACCGAGAATCGATGGGGGATGTGTAGATCATTCAGGCACGATGTCATGCGGGATATTTATCGAGTATTTCGGAGCTCTGAACATTTAATTAGAAAAGCTCGAGTTGAGGGTGCATATTCGTAAAATAAATGAAAAAAAGTCGTTTACGTAGGTCCCGCAAGGGCGGCGTGTGACTTCGGTTTACCTAGAATCAAGTTGGGATGTGTAGATCATTCAGGCACGATGTTATGCGGGACATTTATCGAGTATTTCGAAGCTCCGAGCATTTAATTAAAGAAGCTCGAGTTGAGGGTGCATATTAGTAAAATAAATGAAAAAAAAGTTGTTTACGTGGGTCCCGCAAGGTCGCGTGTGACTTTGGTTTACCGAGAATCGAGTTGTGATGTGTAGATCATTCAGGCAAAATATCATGCGGGACATTTATCGAGTATTTCGGAGCTTCGAACAATTAAATAGAGAAGTTCAAGTTGATGGTGCATATTAGTAAAATAAATAAAAAAAATACATACAACAACGAACATTGCTCGCAATCATAAAATCAACATAAACATAATAACTAAGATAAACATTACTTAACAATTTAAATTATAGCACGCTAAAAACTCCAAACAACATAGACATTCATTTGAGACCCAGTTCTTCTTTAAGCACAGCAAGAAGTCCCTGGTGGGCTTGCAATTCTTCTACTGTCATGGTTGAAGTATCCTCCTTTAGCATTTCTCTGTACGCCTTATATGACTCTATACGAACTAGCTTTTCCAAATCATTTTGTTTCTTTAAATGAATTTCTTTAACCTCACCAATCTCAGCCAACAGACGTCCAACATTTGGACCGGTGCTCCCTCCTGCAGTTGTTTTTTCCTTTCTCTTTCCTGCCTTTGCTGCTTTTTGGCCAATTGGTCGACACACATACTTGTCCTCAACATCACCACTAGGCTCAACATCTTGCCCAGAGCCAGAAGTGTGATCTCCTGTATCAATTATTCTAGCTTTCTTTCCACCTCGAGATGTGTGAGATGCTCCATTAAATTTGGCATTATCTTTCAAAACTTCCCAACAATGAAGCCATTTAAACCCTCCTTTCTTTTTTCCCTCGCTATTCCACTCTATTAATGCATTCTGCTAAACAATTGCATCATTTTCACCACTTCTTTGATCAGCCCGAAACCTGGTTATCGATGCATTAAATTTGATACAATCTCTATGGAAAACATAAAAAAGCAATTTTGCTGACTCCATAGTTCTTTAAATGAGGTTTCGTGCTTGACGGGCCTCATTATAGTACTGTGTAATTCGCCTCCAAAAACTGCCGGACGTTTGTTGAGCGCCAATGACCGGATCACTTGAGATGGTACAGAAAGCTCGACATAGTAAAACATCCTGCTCATGTGTCCACGGCATTGCTGTCTCTTTACTGCATCTTTTAGACTCAACTTCTTTTCCTTTTTTCTGAGTCCGTATCAAGGCAAATGTTGTCAAGTCCTTCAACCTCTAGGGTTGTGCAAGGTCTTGGGACTTCAGTGGAACTACTGGAGAATCCAGTCGGCATGAAATTTTCTTGTTGATAAGGCATCCCAAATGCATTCGGAATGCCATATTGGGGCGGCATTGTCCACATATGCTAAGATTGATTCATGTTCATTAAATTTGGTGATTGGGTAAAAGAAAGTTGCTCTGAAGTCTGTGGAATTGGATAAGAAGGCATTGGTGCTGGTATTTGAAAAGGAAATTTTTTAAATTGGGGTTGTAGTTGCATTCTAGGAAATTGAAAAAACTGCATATTTCGTGTATAACGTGAATTTACAGAAAACGGGTTGTCATCCTCCGATGAGTTTGGCATATTTGGGTTGGATGTATATGGATTGTTATCCATTACACCTTTTGAGAAATATAAGGCAGAGGTCTATGATTTTTTTTCCTAATGAGGATGTAATGCATAACATCACAAGAATCACCTTAATTTATAGAGGGTAGTTTGTATTGTAAAGTGATATTTGAAAAAAATACAATATCAATTAAATATCTCATCAGTTAAATAAATGGCAGGTGGGCACACAATTCAAAGAAATTGCAAAGATTGAATACGTGACCATACTTCTTGAAAGTAATGAACAAATGCAACTATACAGCAGAAGGATAAGATTTGTATCAATTAAGTCAGCTTTTATTTTGGGGCAGAATTTCAAAATTGGTCCTATAACTTGGCCACTGTCCAAAAAACCACCCCTATATTGACCACTTTCAATTTAGGTCCTATAATTTGTAAATTTCATCAATTTTGGTCCTTTTTATCCGGATCATGGATTAAAAAGTGACGTGGCATGACGTGTCATTTTTTTAAGGTTACATGGCGTGATTATGATCTACGTGGCACGTCAATTTTGGTCCTATAATTTGTCGATTTCATCAATTTTGGTCCTTTTTTCATGCCACGTCACTTTTTAATCCAGGGTACGGATAAAAAAGGACCAAAATTGATGAAATCGACAAATTATAGGATCTAAATTGAAAGTGGTCAATATAGGGGTGGTTTTTTGGACAATGGCCAAATTATAGGACCAATTTTGAATTTTTGCCTTTATTTTGGGATGTGTGACAACACAACTTTTTTACTACATCAATTTTTTAAATTTGAAAATATATATATGTATATTTAAAAGTTTAATAAAACTTAAATTATCTTTAGACACACATTGCAAAATAACATCAGATTTTGTTTTTGATGTGTGACAACACAATATTTTCATTCAAATTTTACATTTAAAAATCTAATAACGAATAATCCAAATAAAATATGAGATTCAATTTATTTATTCAAACAAAAACCATCTAGGTTTACTCTCTTTTTGTACGAGCAGAGATTATTAGTGTTCGTTCTTCATCGAAAATATCTCGTTTTAAATTTTTTTTCGACAACAATTGAAACTCGTTCTTATTTCAACTAGTCGCTTTTTTTTCGGGTTGTCAATTAAATCCAATTACATCCAATTAATTTTAAACCAAACAACCTCATTTTACTTTTTTTTTGTACGAGCAAAGATTGTTAGTGTTCGTTCTTTTTCGAAAATAACTCGTTTTCAATTATTATTTTTCGACAACAATTGCAACTCGTTATTATTTCATTTAATTATTTTTATTTTATTTTTTGGATTGTCAAGTATAAAAAAAAAAGTTGAGATAAAATTTATTATCTATTACAATTTAAACTAGTTTTTTTGTCACAATATTAAAATTCATTAAACAAAATAAAAAACTATATCAAAACTATCATGCCTACAATAAAATAATTGAAAACAAAATATATACGTATTGCAAGTGTCAGACATGCTTGAAATAATAAATAAATAAATAAATAAATAATGAAAAAATGGGCCCGCAGATAATGTTTATGGGAGGTTTTCATTTCTAAACCTGTGGTGGATAGGTAAACCTTAAACATTCCTAATTTAATAGCAAAGTTGGGGAGGGGGTTTATAAACTTGATGAAAACCTCCCCACTAAAGATGCTCTCAAACCCTGGTTGGGGAAACATGCCAATACTTCTGACCATTGATGTTGAAAGAGAAACTAGTAGAGGAAATGCAAGCCAATATCGTTAATCAAAGTCAAGTGGAAGCCCATTTTAGTCATAACAATTTTAATGCATGGCCATTCCACTCTATTAAACGCCTTTTTCATGTCTAACTTAAGAGCCATATAGAATTTATTGCCTGAGTTATGCATGCTTAGAATACAAATAGAGAGGCAATTTTTAAGCCTAGAAGCAAGAATCATAGATATAATTTTATAAGCAACACAACATAAGCTTATGGGTCTGAAGTGCTCCACTTTTGTAGGATTTTGGATTTCGGGGAGAAGGGTTGTGAATGTGTGATTCCAGGATTTAGAAATAAAGCCAGAGTTGAAGGAACTGAATATAGCATTGCAAAGGTCAGTTTTAATGATGTGCCAAAATTTCTGAAAAAATAAAGGAGACATACCATTATGGCCAGGAGCTTTGTTTGGATTCATACTGTCTAGGATTCTCTTGATTTCCTCTTCATCCACCATTGCTAGCAGGCAGAAGTTCATGGAGTCTATGATGGATGGTTGAATGCAGTCAAATAGAGGGTCTTCAATATTAGGTAACCCTCAGAAGTGAAGAATATCTTGTAGAAGGATGAGATGCTGTAATACCCCGTTTTATCGTGGAGTAATTGGGAATAAATATTGATTATTGTTATTATTATTTTCCTTATTTATTATTATTATTATTATTATTGTTATTATTAAATGCCAAATTACTATTATTTGTTGGTATTAGTAATATTACTATTTCTAATATTAATTGTCTAAATATTATTAATTGTCAAATTGTAATTATTTGTCTAAATGCATATTTTTATTACTATTATTATTATTATTTTAAAATATGATGTGTTTAATTGTGTATTATTAATAAAATAATAAAATGTGTTATATATATATTTTGGTCCGGTTTTATTTTATTAATCGTGCGATTTTAACCGAGCCCGAGAACCGATCCAATTTCTTGAAGCCGCGTTAGAACCGAGATTTCGACCCGATGAACCGAATTTTTGACCCGGTCCGGTTCCCTCCCTCACGTGCATGTGTGTGCGTGTGGAATTTTCTTGTCAAACAAGAA